ACTCTATACTGTGACAACATTGGTGCCACGTATGTATATGCAAATCCGGTATTTCACTCTTGAATGAAGCACATTGCCATAGATTACCATTTCGTTCGTGATCTAGCTGCAAGTGGAGCTCTCCGTGTCTCCCACATCTCAACCACAGATCAACTTGCAGATGCCCTCACAAAACCATTATCCAAACCTCGGTTAAGTTATTTGCGACCCAAGATTGGCGTCTTCGATGGAAGCGCCATCTTGCAGGGGCGTGTTAAGGATAATGGCACAAATCAAGGAATCAAGATCAAATCAAATCACACAAGTACTAAAGTCAAGGAAGAATCTCACATAACAAGCAAGTGCTAAGATCAAGGAATTGTAAATTCAATTTGATTGATTTTGTAAACTTAATTTGATTAACTCTAACGGCTTGTAATCTCTTGTATAAATACATGTACTCAGCGCATGGAAAATGTATTAGTTGTATAAAATATTTTTCTCAGAATTCTCTTGATTCTTTTAAACTTTATAAAAATGAGGTAGATAGACAATCAAAGATATGAAGAAGATGTATTTATTACGTTATTGAAAGTTAAATGTATCGCCAGAAAACAAAATAAGAGCACCAAATCTAAATGTAATTAAAAGCATCGGCCGACCGCCAAACGAGAAACTATGTTTGAGGAATTAAGAAGTCTCAACAAAACATCCCGGCACAAGAATGAGGCCAAGGTACTCTTGATTTGACGTGCTCCATGAGTATAGATTTGCAAAGACAAGAACGTCCAAAAACCAGATGATTCCTATCTTCATCAGAGAAATTACAGAGGCAGCAGAGAGAGGAGGCCTGCTTGTTCCGCTTAAGCAACCTGTCTTGTTGGTGGCCAATCGATCATGCATAGTAAGCCAAGCAAGAATGGAAGATTTCTCATTTGCGAGACATAGAGAAAGACGTTGAAATCACATTTGTATATGATACTAATTATAACGACTATTGGGTAATTAGATGACAAAAATATCAAAATAAGATTGATGACGCTTTATTACAACAAAAAGGAAGATTGATAACCCTCACTAAGATCGAATCATGACCGAATCACCTTCTTTGGAGACCAAAATCCAATGGACTTCCCTTATTGCTTTTGCTTATTATGAAAGTGAGACTCGGTTATACTTCATGAACGAGAGCACATCTAAGTGGAAGATAAAGCACAATACAAGATCTCTAATAAGGTAAAAGAAGAAGATGTATCCTTCATGGAACTACAGTACACTTTTTATTCGATTATAAGTACATTGAGCTCTTATACAATTTCTACAAGATCTCTTCCTATATGATTCTTCGTCGCAACAGGAGCACGGGTTGGCTTTATACATGATAAAGAATTTCCCTCGACCAATAATCCATTAAAGGATTTTTTTCGAACTGCGCGGGTTCAAATTCCGCCTCCCTCTGGAGTTCGATTGTGATGGGGTGTTGGACTCCAAGAACTTCGTTCCACATGGTGCAAGAATTTCTATCGTCCGCAGGCTTGAAAGTTATTTTGAAACCAGCAAGTTCAGGTTGGCGGAATGACGTCCTTTCTTATTGCAACTTATCTGAGAATGATATGCGAAGTGATGCTTTTGAAGTCACTTTTTATGGTTTACCTGGATTAGAAAAGGTACGTACAAACAAAGCAATCTGATCACATTTTATTGATTCGTGATTATAATGGATTCCAATATGGTGTCCATAGGGCACAACAAATTCGTCAAAGAAAAACATGGCGCGATAAAAACTCCTTGGTCATTTCATTAATCTTTCCTTCATGGGAAAGAGTAGTATCGAACTCCACTGCCTCTTCTTTTCATGAGAACAATAATTCAGGCGACCGATGGTTTTCCTATGCTGGAAACTCTTTTTTCGAAGTAGTCCTGGCATGCTTTTAACCGGTGGGAGAAAGAGTGAGGTTATCCTTTCGTCCTCACATTTTCCTTCTGCCCAGGGCAAAAGAAAATAGCAAATGAGAGGAGAGCCGCCATTCGGTACTTGTGTGTGTGTGAGAGATAGAGATGCTTATCGGGGATGAGGGCCTGTTCTGGTAGATCATTGATCCGATCTTTTGTGTGCATTGGGGATTCATGTGAGAGATGTGTCGAAAGTCGTTCTCCAAAATGGTTTGGGATGACATGAAATGCCTGATCCTTGGCTTCATTTTCATCACTAGGTCTCACATCCGAGAAAAAGACTCATAAAAAGGTGAAGGGAAACAATTTATTCATTTGAGGGAGGAGAGCCAATTAGTGTGACCATAAGGAGAGAGTAGAATTTGACATAGGTGAAGGTGTAAAGCACCAAAAGTTTAAGGGTGTATAAATATTCAAAATGCTGGTCATCCTCATTATTGCTGCGGATACACTTACATATTTTGCATCTATGGCAGGTTTTGTTGGGATTGGTTTACCCTACAAACTTGACTATGCATACCTTGGTTTAGTACTTACCTATTCAAGAAAACTAGAAATCTAGGCCGTTAGAATATTTTATCATGCTGATAAATGAGATCACGGACAACAATTTCGCAGCGTTGAACATGGTTACTAGATGCATCCAATTAGCACTTAAAGCACATAAACCTAACGGTTTACTATACATGAATGAAAGTTATAGATCGGTTTAAGGTGGGGTTACATTTCTTGGTTTTTGTTGTGTTTTAATGGGTAAGGTGTGAATCTCTTTCCTTTTCATTTTTTTATCATAGTAGAATTATTATAACTTGTTGCACCTTAATTAATAAAAAAAAAAAGAGTACGACCATGGTGTTGTACATAGGAGTGAGCGGTTTCAGATTCCCTACAAGTTCTATCTAGAATCTAGAACTTACCCATTGAAATAGGTTTCTAATTTTTTTGGAATCTGAAACCGACTCTGCATACCTTGGAACGGGAAACAGATTCCTACCAATCTGATTCTCAGGTTTCAAGTTTTACTCTAGAACCATGCTCACCCCTAGTTGTACATGCTAAAGCAAATTAGAAAATGGACATTCTCATTATTGTTGTGGATTCACTTGCATATTTTGCCTCTAATCGGTTCTCATACCTGAGATAGAATTAATGGTAGGTTCGTTCGGATTGATTTACTCTACAAATTTGACCATGTACATCCTTGGTTTAGTACTTACCTATTTAAGAAACTAAAATCTAGACTGTTAGATTTCCTTTATCATTTTGATAATTGAGATCGAACCGACAATTTCACTATTTTTGAACATGGTTACTAGATGTATTTGATATGTACTTGAAGCACACAAACCAAATAGTTTAATATATTCAAATGAAAACTATAGATCAGCTTACGGTAGGTTCGTTGTGTTTTAATGAACTTTACTCACTTTTCAAGGAAAAAAAGTTTTTTTTGAATTGATATATCAGACTTACATCTCTTCCCTTTTTATTTATCATAGTAGGATTATCGTATCTTATTTTACATGAATAAATCAAAAACTAATGAGTTGGACCATTTCATGCCAAACTTAATTAACATAACTTCAGTCACCAAGATTCAAGGAGCTAATTGTGAAATAATATGAGCTTCTCATCAGAACAATAATTTCATATTCCCTCTATGCATTTGATAAATTTTCTTCAAGTACCGAAATATGAGTCACTCCCTGTTTGCATATGTATTCTTTTAGCCTTTTCAATGATGCCTCATCGACTTCTGTGTCCATTGAGGTTTTGAGATTGCAATAGGAAAGTTGAACTTTTCATTCTTTACAATTTCACGTTTTTTCGAATCCAATCCTTAGAATCCTATCTTTATATTTTTAATTTGTCTGATCAAGCCCTTCTACCTTTGAAAATGTTTGTGATCAAGTCCCCCGACATCAAATCCAGCCAAATCCAGTTGACTTGGCCATCGAACAATATCGTACCATTACGTTCACAAAATCTTCCTGACGTGGACAGCCACGTTGACTAGATTTATCCATCTACTTCGACATTGCTAACTCTAATTATGTCGAGGCTAGTGAGGGCCGCAATGCCCTCGCCTAGACCAAGCAAGGGTCGTTGGCCCTTGCCTATGGCTGGCGATGGTTAGTGGCCAGCTAGAGGTGTAAAAAAAAAAGCAAATAAAAGAAAAAAAGGAAAATAAAAGAAAAAATAAATAAATAATTTGAAAAAAATTAAGATATTACTAAAAATGTTCACGTCAGCGCTAACCGTACCATGTAGGACAGCCAGCGTTTACGTCATCAATATCTAGCTAAAATTGGTCGGATGGACCCAATTGGCAAAACTTTAAAAATTTATGACTCAATTAGTAAAATTAAAAGGTTTAGGGCTGAATTAACAAAAGTTTAATTGGTTTATGACTTTTTTGACAATTTTGCCACTTTGCCTCTATAGAAAGAGAACACCACAGAAATAGAACAAGCTATTCCACAGGAAATGTATCCAAGTTTGGAAGGACCTTTATAGAAGGTAAATAAGCTGTAGGACGATGGGTCGTTAAAGTTTGGACCGATCAAAAGATGGTGAACAACTTGTAGATCATGAGGACATCAATTGAAGGAGTGGAAGCTTTTTCGTTGGTCTTTTGGCTGAAAAGAAAAAATCAAATTTGTTTGCCTTTGCTCAAAATCACATGACCCTCTTTGGCATCTCTTTCCAACGTATGCGTTTCACTTTGATGCCAAGGTCTCAACGTACAGTTTCCTTTTTTTTTTTTCCCCAATATGGTTTATTGAATTTCTTGCATAGATTTTTTACTTTATTTCAAATACAGCTTCCACGATTGTACACTGAAGAATAACTTGCCCTATAGATATTTTACGCGCTTAAGAAAAACGACATTTTAGGGTCTTTTATGTATCATTTTTAGGCCTCCTTGAATTATAATATCCTTCTAGATAACAATGATACTCAAGTCAAATTCCTTTTTCATCAAAGAAAAATTATAGAGGTGAATAATGATAATTAAGGGTTTAAAGCTAGACACAACAGTACATTTATTTCATTGACGAAGGCTGCCCAAATTACACATGAACCATGTCTCCAAATGGTACAAACAGAGACTCTTCCTTAATTCGTGAATTGCCATTGGAATCAACAGAGTGGAGGGCAACAAAAACGGCAGGGTCTGTTACTTGTAGTCGCAACTTCCTCGACTTGGATTGCCATCTTCATGCCTTTTTCGCAAAGGCCAGAGGACGGACACGTGAAGTAGATCAAGCCCGGCGTGCTCAGCGTAATGTTTGTCTTGCCTCCATCGTAGGATTTTAGCGCATTGCGTTTCCTGCAGCTCTCGTAATCTTCTCTGTTCACCATGTTCCACCTTGTGGCCTACCTCGTATTCGAACACTAAAACAATGATCATAGTCAGGTTTTTGTTTCCATTAGTGTTTAATACAAGGTTGACCCAGAAAGTCTTTCGGCATATATTCTTTGTTTCTTTTCAAATTCATCTTTATATTGATTCAAACCCTAGTCTAAACCCGAGTCTACAATGGAATAGGCGGTGCACGGATAGTTTATCAAAAATAATCGCTAGACAAAAAGAGTATCGTTCTTTTATCGACAGAAACGTGATATTAGCTTTCAATTGGTTGTTTTTGCATTAAAAATAATTGATTGAACTGACAGTAAAAAGTTTGAGAGCAGACTAATATGTCGTTTCAAGGTGACGTGTATAAGCTATTCTAGATTTCTAGCAAATGGCTGCTACATCCATATATACCATTCACAAGATGACATGGTATCATGAACAATCAATCCAATAACATGATCTCATTTAGAGACATCAGTGTGTCAGATTGTACACGTATTACGTGCACAACTCTTTCGATTGACGAGGATTATTCTGGTCACAAAATATAAAAACTTTCTTGGCAAGAATTAGATTAGGCATGAAGTTGGATGGGCGAATATATAAGTCATTACCGAGGATATCGTTGACGAGGAACTTTTCACCATCAGCCCAAACCTGATGGTCTCCCTGAGTGCACCAATCTGTGATGGTGTGTACCACACCATAGGCCACCGGAGTGACCACAAGCAGAAGAACAAGTAGAACACTTGTGGCCATCTTCATGTTTGAAGCAACTTCTTTACTATAGTAAAGAGAGAGCAGAATTAGGGAGAGATGTGCATGAGTTGCAACTAGTTCCCATTTATATAGAGATGCCATGGCCGGGGGGTAGTTTAGGAAATCTCCACTTCCGAAGGAGCAATGACTGGATCTTCATATCCCGACTTTTCAGTTTTATCAAGCGACATAAAAAAAAGGGTGAAAAAAATTTTAAGTACTCCTAGTGTAAAGGAGTTCTTCAGCTCGAGTAATAAAAACACTAGTTGTAAAGGGGAAAATGGGAAAACTTGTTGAATTGCGATTGGTGATGTGCTTGTGGAGAGAGAGAGAGAGAGAGAGAGAGAGAGAGAGAGAGAGAGAGAGAGAGAGAAAGAGAGAGTTTTGAGAGGTGCAAAATGAGAAAACATGAATAGGGGAAAAAGAAGAGAAAAGATACTGAAAAAGAAAAGAAAATTGTGGAGTTCATACGAGGTATCGAATGAGTCCAATGATGAGGTAAAGAGGGTAACTTAAGATGTACAATTATTCCCAAATTAAATGAACCTAATCCAATAATTAAACATGTCCGAATCGGACTTTGGCACTAGGTTAGAGGATTTATCTAACCTAGCCAAAAGCATTAGGTAATATGTGGTAAGGATATACAAGATCATTCATATGTGGTAAGGTGTGAAAATCATATAGTGTCGTGGCTAACCTTTCACCGGATAATTTAGGTCTAACTTTTTAATTCGAACAAGACAAATCATGCATCCACGTCAGGATACAGGATTTGCAAGAATATTTTTGGTGGCCGAACCTAAAGTAATGGAGCAAAGTAGGAATCAAACCCAAATAATTACCACTTTTGGAAGCAAAATCCTAATCGTTGTACTGCTTGGCCATCCCTTATGGGGTTGGATCAACACATAATAGTTTCAGATATAAGCAATTTATTGTACTAAGGGTTTTTCCAGTTGACCAAATAAATCAAGGTTTACCAATGAAGATTTGCATATCAACAACAAAGAAAACTCATGTTGTGGGATTAAGATTTTATGTTCTCATTTGTGTATAATTTAGTTAAATTATATTTAAAAGTTAAAATAGGCCAACGACCGATTGTCACATCATTTTGATAATCATATTTTGACCGAATAAGGAATTGCATCTCCCTATTTTTATTAAGAAAAATACATTTTATGCCTATACTTGTTGGTATTCAAGTCTCTATCCAACGTCATCATCGATATAAGTTCTCTACGGATTGATGTGGGATTAATAAAAAATTCTCTATGAAAATCCGTGTGCAGACAATTTTTATATTTGTTGGGGAAAGGACAATAGAGTTACTGACGAATGAAACCATACGATGTCGACGTGTTAAAAATTAGAATATAAAGCAGTAGTGTCGGCATATGTATACGACAGTAACTACATGCATGGATAATCGAACAAGCATAAATCCTTCGACGGTTAAGAGTATAATTCTAATTATTGCAAAGCCTCGTTTTGTTTCATATGCACACGCCAGCAATTGTTCCCACGCAAGCTTCCACTGATGGATGGCTTTGTTTGCTCAAATGGCTATACGGTGATCCCTCGGGAAAAGTGTCAAAAAAGTCCTAAATCTTTTGTATTGGTGCCAATTTAGTCATAAACTTTTTTTTGGTACCAATTCAATCTTTATGCCAATTCAGTCCTTCCAGCTAATTTTGGTCGGATTTTGCTGATGTGGACGCCAGCCGGCCTACATGGCAGCGTTGGCGATGACGTGGACAATTTTTAATAATATTTTAATATTTGGCTAATATTTTTTTTTAATTATTTTTTTCTTCCCTTTCTTCTTCCTCCAGCCAATCGCCAGTCCGGCAACCAACTGAAGGCCAAGGCCGGCGAGCCCCACCGGCCAATGGCGAGGCTTGTCCTTGTCTGCGATGGCGAAGGCGAGCCTCGCCAGCGGCTGGGTGAGGCACGACCTCACCAGATCTGACAAGGTTGGGCCTCACCCATGGCCGGCAAGGCTCGACCCTCACCAGATGGCTTAAGGGCGGCCTCGAGCTAGGCTGGGCGATGCGCAACCTCGCCGGATTTGGAGAGATTGAGCCTCCCCCATGGTTGGCGAGGCTCGACCCTCGCCAGATCTGGCGAGAGCGAGCCTTGTCCAGCCCAGCGCGAGGCTCAAGCCCTCGCCGGATGGCCGCGAGGGCGGCCTTGAGCTGGGTTGGGCAAGGTGCGACCGTACCGGATCTGACTACGTTCGGCGAGGCTCGACCCTCCCCCACGGCCGGCGAGACTCGACCCTCGTCGGATCCGGCGAGGGCAAGCGTTGCCCAACCCAATGCGAGGCTTGATCCCTCACCGGATAGCCGCAAGGGTGGCCTCGAGTTGGGCTGGGCGAGGCACGACTTCGCCGGATCTGGCGAGGTCGGGCCTCTCCCATGGCCGGCGAGGCTCAACCCTCACCAGTTCCGGCGAGGGCGAGCCTCACCCAATCCATCGCGAGGCCGCCCTCGCAGCCATCCGGCGAGGTCGGGCCTCCCCCATGGCCGGCGAGGCTCAACCCTCACTAGATCCGGCGAGGGCGAGCCTCACCCAATCCATCGCGAGGCCGCCCTCGCAGCCATCCGGCGAGGTCAGGCCTCCCTCATGGCCGGCGAGGGCGAGCCTCACCCAGCCCATCGTGAGGCTACCCTCGCGGCCATTCGACGAGGGTCGAGCCTCGCTTGTGGCCGGCAGGGCCTCCAGCCGATTGCCAGACCGACGACCGGCTGGAGGAAGAAGAAAGGGAATGAAAAAAAAAAGAAAGAAAAGAGAAAAAAATTCGAAAAATATTAAAATATTATTAAAAATTGTCTACGTCATCGCTGGCGGTGCCACGTAGGCCGGTCGGTGTTCGCATAAGCAAAATTGAGCCAAAATTAGCCGGAAGGACTGAATTGGCACAAAGACAAAAGGTTTAGAATTGAATTGGCACCAAAAAAAGATTTAGGACTAAATTGGCACTAATATAAAAGGTTTAGAACTTTTCTGACACTTTTTTTTAGATCCCTCAGTCAATTTCTTTTTTTTTTACAAAGTGTTTGCACCTAAAAATAAGCAAAATAGATATTGACTATTTTGATAAAGAAATTGGTTTTGTGAGGCATCGATCATATCAAGCAGGATATCATACCAATTGAGAGATTTCCTGATCATGCCATGATTGGGATAGATTTGACATGCAGGAGGTTTAACACATGCAAAATTGACGTGGCCATTTATGATGATGCCAACCAACCTTGAATCTCGAGTTGGAGGGATTATGGCCTCGCACGTGGCATTAAAGACTGGCGTACACGTGGTTAAAGCGGTTAGCTCACACTAAGCAGAAGTGACTGGAATGAAGCCAAACCAGTTAATGTCCGAGAAAAGTGTGAAAATAGTCATCCCTACAATACAAGAGTGGTGGAGATCATGGTTGGATGTGTGACAGAAGCGGATTGGCATACGTGAAAAAGTGATTATCATAAAAATCAAACCTATTGATAGAAACTGTGGGACCTATATTTAAAATTTACGGAACACATTCAACACTTGGGAAACAAGTTTTAGAACGTGGAAGCAAAATCCTTGAGGGTCATGGACGTCTTGGGAGAGGAGGAAGACACCGCACACCCAACCGAATCGCAAGATTTCACTTATTTGTTATTTTTTTACTTCATTTTACCAGGCTCGTGCTCTTGTGAGTTTGATGTGAGCTTTTGCTATCAGTTTTTAACTCTATTGCACTTTTGGCGAGTCTTGTGGGAAACACATATTTTACCAGGCTCGTGCTCTTATAGTGGAATCCAGTGAGGAAATACATTTTCGCACTTCTGGCTGCATGGGCCGAACCTTTAAGAATTCCAATTACTGGATCGTTGCCCTAAGTAGAACCGACACGCGACATGCGACACGGCACGACACGACACGCAACACGTTATTTCTCAAAAATACAGAATTCCGACACGTTGCAACACGTATATAAAAAGTAAATTTTTATATATACATGATAAATTAATTTGATTCAAATCCACAAATAAATAAATAATAAGAAAAAAGGAGCCTAAAATGAATTTACAGTAAAAACAAGCCACCATTTGTTAATATCTATTCAAAACCGGATAATAGAGGCAGCATGTCTTGTATTCTAGACTTCTCAGACTTGCAATCCTCCCTCTGGGGGATCACAACCAGAGGAGGCAGAGGTCTCTTTGAAAAGAAGCATACTGAAGGTACAAAAAGAAAAGGGGCAAAATGACTGAAACTACACAAAGAGAGTGATCATTACCGGCACTGCAAAAGGGGAATGACGTCGGCTGCGACGGTGGTGGTGGGGTAACGAGGAGGCGACGTCGGCGGCGGAGGATACCCTCTGGCAAAATATCGTTGGTACCCCTCGAAGGGAGGTTGAGGCGGCGGCGACACAGGCCCTGGGTAGGCCTCGAGCGGTGGCGCCGAAGGGTAATTTGGTGGCGGGTGGGGAGCAGACGGTACCCAGCGAAAAGCGAGATGCAAGAAAACGTTCAAGAAAAGCAATCACAGCGGAGAAAAGGGTCTTGAGGAGCTATGCGGAGGAAAGAAGCTTAGGGCAGACAGAAGTAATCGAGCTTTCTCTGCTTTTCTTTTTACTTTTTTTACTTTTTTTTATAAATTTACATTTTGACTCCTAAATTTTTGGAAATTTGTAAAATTAACCCCGTGCGTGTCGAAAATCGCGTGTCGGATTCCCGACTCGCGTGTCGCCGGTGTGTCCGGCGCGTTGACCTCGTGTCGGATCTCCGACACGCGTTGTCCGCGTGTCCGAGCGTGTCGGCCGCGTGTCCGAGCGTGTCGGAGCGTGTCGGACACGCGACACGTGTCGGACATCGCTTCCGACGCTCAAATAGCGTGTCGGTGCATCTTAGTCGTTGCCACATCCATATATGTGCTAATGACACGATGACATGGTATCATGCATTGTTGAAAATGTCCTAAATCTATCACTTTTTTGCCAATTTTTTTGTCAAATTTCAATTTTTTCAATTGAATCATAA